TTTTTTTTTATGAGATTATAATAAAAAAAAAAAAAAAAAAAAAAATTACGATAAATAAAATATATTACTAAAAATAGACATAAACATGAATAAATAAAATGTTTATTATGTGTTATTTTATTTATTTTTTTTTTTTTAACATTTAAAAAAAAAATAAAATATTTCAAATTAAAGAATATATCATTAAAGAAATATTTAAATCTACTATTCAACATAAAATAATTTTTCTTTTTATGCAAATTTATATGTTATTGATATTTATGTTAATAATAAAAAAAAAAAAAAAAATTAAAATTTAAATTTGAAAAAATTGGAAAGTTTTCAACTGTTTGAGAATACACAAAATTTCTTTTTCTTCATTAATAGTCTATTATTTTAATACTTCTAATATTTAAGATGTAAAAGTATGCATGTTTTTTCATATATTATAAATCCATAGTAGCATTTAAATATGATGAAAAATAATTCATTAATTTTTGAAATGAAGTAATTTGGTTTTGTTTTGGGTTTATTATACTATTTAAAATATTTTTGTCAAATTGTGTTAACTTGTTTTTAGTAGAAGAAACAAATTTATCATATAAAAAAAGTCCTAAAACAACATGTTCAATTAAGCATTCTTTTTTTTTTAATAAAATAGATACACTGATACATAGTAATTCAGATATACCTATATGATATCTATATATAATAAAAAAAAAAAAAAGTATCATTTTATGAATTTCCTGTTGTTAAAAAATGCCATTATGAAATATATATATAAAAGAATGTTATAATAACAACATATAAATACAATGTGTTATATATATATGTCTTAACTTACATGGTTAGAGTTGATAAATCTGAAGCCATATTGAAATATTTATGAATTATTGATTTAGATATATTATTAATTTCGTTGAATTCAAAATAAGATAAATTATTTTTCCTTAAATATGAATATTTGTTATTTAAATCAAAATAATAATCAAAATTTTCTATATTAGTATTATCCACTGTTCCTAATATTTCATCAATTATATCTTCATCTTTTTCAAAACCAAGTTCAAACAAAAAATCAAAACGAGCTAATAAATTTTCATTAATATAAAAATTGAATTCCTATAAATTTTATATTTTGTATAAAATTATTTCATAACATATTAAAGAAATATATTTCTTTATTTTTATTTTTTTTTTTTTTTTTTTTTTTTTAATTTTTATACATGCTCATTTCTTATAAATGATTTTACTGAATACACCCAAAATGTAGTTGAAACTGGTATGGAAAATTTTTTATTTCTGTAAATTCCATTTTTCATAATTTCTACTAATATTTTAATTTGAGAATTGTTTAAATTATTTATATTTATGACTAGTATATCATATTTTTGAGTAAGTAATATATTAAAAGAATCCTTTTTTACATTAAGAAGCTTAATGTTACAGAAAAAATTGCAAAACTTAACCATTTCTATCATCAGTATTTCATCTAAGCATATAAAAAAACAATGGGGTGCTCTCATCCCTTCTTAAATAAATATTTAAATAAAAATTCATAAAATATTATTCAATGTTCATTTAAAAATATTTTCTTATAATTTAATAAATTAATATTATATTTTATTATGTTAAATATACTTTCTTTTTAGTTTATTACTTGCTGAAATATTTTCCTTAATAAAAGTCTTGTACCTCTTGTTTTTATTTACTTTATTAAATATATCATAAGCAAATGAATTCAAATTCAAATATTTTAAAAAGTTATTACTTATACTAATTAAAATTAGTGTTAATTTGGTCGTTTTACAAATTTTATTTAAAACAGAATTACTCTGTGGGAGTTTTAATATATCAATTATAATACTATTCATATCTATAGAAAAAATTAAAAGATAATTCAAAATAAATCTAGAAAAAAAAAAAAATTTCAATATATATTTATTTTTAAAAAAAATTACAAATTACCATTTAAGTTTTGAGAATTTAATAAATAATTAAAGCATTCAGTAGATAATAACGTATTCACATTTGTTGATAAAGATAGCATGTTATATTCAAATTTTCTTGTTTTCTAAAAAAGAGAAAAATAAATAAAAAAAAATATACATATATATATATATACAATGAATAAGTTGAAAAATTAAACAAAATTTTTTTTTGTTATTACTATAATGTTTTTCCTGTGGTTTAACAACCAAAGACTACCAACATGTAACCCCTTGATGTTATTTTTATTTAACTTAAAATTATATAAATATATATATAAGTATATATAAATATATATATATAAATGTATATTGTCTTTATTTTTTGATGTACCTTATTAGGAATAGACACAATAATTAAATTGTATTTCATACCAATTTCAAAATTTTCAGTTTTTTCATTGATATCTTGAAACAACACTTCAAAGGTTGTATATTCATCTTATTAAAAAAAAAAAAAAAAGAAAATAAATAAAAAGTATATGTATTATTAATTACAAAAATTAACATAAAATAATATTATCATATAAAAAATAAAATATAATAAAATATAATAAAATATAATAAAATAACCTTTATTATTATATTCATCAATAGTTTTTGAAAAAAAAAACTTTAAAGTGAAAAAGTTTTTAAACTTCCTTTTATTTATTATTTCTTCATATTCTTTTGAATAACATAATTTGCATATTTCTTTAGCTTCTTTATTTCTATAAATACATAATTTTAACATATATATATGCATTGATTTAATACTAGGCTTGTTTAATATTATATTTTTTTTTTTTAATTTATATATATATATATATATTTTTTTTAATCATTAAATTTAGATTTATTGTATTTAATTCTTTTTTTTTAAATTTATAACTTACTCATATAAATCTCCTAGTTTATTAATTTTTACAATAACATTTTGATGTGGTAAATATTTACTTGAACATTCGCATATTCTCATATAAAAAGATTTATATAAAAAACTTTTTTTATCTTTACTTATTAATGTTGCGTTAATTATTTCAATTATATTATAAAAGTTGTTTTCCAATTTATTTGATTTTCCTAGATTTAAGATACAATCTGTCTAAATATTTTTTTATATCATATATATATATATATATATGTTTTTATTAACATTAAAAAAAATATCATATTATAAATTTCAATTCATTACTCTTTATTATTTTAAGCATACTTTAATTGGAGTATTAAGTGGAATTAAAAAAATGATAAAAAATTTATTTTTTATAATAATGTCTAAATAAACCGATAAGTTGATATTCGTCTGTTTGTTCTCCTAATAATTAATATTTTTTATATAATTTTTTATGCAAAAAATTAAAAATATATATTTTTGCTTACTTTAAAATTTTTTAAAAATTCCGATAATAAAATATATGAAGTTTCATTAAAAGAATTTGCAAATTCAATATAGTTTTTCATTATATAATAACCCATAGAGTTATTTGAATCAATTCTATATTAAAAATATATGTATATTTTTATATATATATATTAAATTATATTATTTCTTTTTCTTCTTTTTATAAAAACATTTACAATTTTATAACATCTATGTATATGAATACTTCAAAAAAATAATTATTTTTTTGATAATTTTCGTAGATTTTATCTAAAATTGTCTTAAAATAGAATTTTAATATGAGGTTTTTTAATAAATCTTTAAGTAAAAAAGAATTAGATGAATTATTATTTTCTTTTTCATTATTTTCTAATACATCACAATATTTCCTTTTTGTATTTTTAAATTTTTTAATATACTTATTGTAAATCATATTTAATAAAACAAAAAAAAAAAAATAAAAAATAGAAATTTTTTTTTAAAAAAAGTATATTTAGAATATTTATTCGTAATTTTTGTTAAACAAAAATGTTCAATGCATAATCTTTTTTTTTTTTTTTCTATTCTATATTAAAATTACAGAGAATATTCAAAATAAGAAAAATGATTTCTTATTAATAAAAACTTATAGTCTTCATGAAAATACAAATCATGCCTTTCTCATTTTTAATTACTTCTTTGAGTTGTTCAATTTATCAATAATAAAGATTAATCATAATTAAAAATAGAAAATTCGTCAGTACAAACAAAAAAAAAAAAAAAAAAAAAAAAAAAAAAAAACCAAAAACAAAAATAAACATAATATACAAATTTTTTTATTTTTTTTTTTTACAATATAATTTATATTTCAAAATCTTGAATAAAATATTTTGAATATTATGATAATTACGTAAACATATTTTTTAAAAGATAGTAAAAATAATGGTTCTATATTTATTAGACATCTATATTGTCTTTAAAAAAAAAAAAAAAAAAATGAAATTAAAACATTCAATTTATAATATATTATTTAATTATTTTATTTTATTTTATTTTTTTTTTTTATATCCAAATTTATAAAATTCTCAAAATAAAATGAAAAATTTCATGTTTGTCATAAAAAATTATACTACATATACTTATATTACTTTTTATTTTTTTTTATCAAGAATTAAAGAAAAAGAAAAGATTTTCTTTAAATATTTAAAGAATATTTTCATATAAATGTAAAATATTCATAATAAATCTAATGTTATAACCTAATGCTTCATGGATTCAGTCTTCAATAATTTGAAATGGAAAAACAGAAAATTAGATAAGAGCTATAAATAAAAAAAAAAAAAAGTGTAAAACTTAAAATTTTAATAGTACACCTTTTATTAAAAAATCTAATGTATATTCTGAAGCTTAATAATTTAAAAAAAATTAAAAAAAAAAAAAAGATACATTATCATGCCAGCTTTACATTAATTGAGAAAAAAAAAAAAAAAAAAAAAAAAAAAAAATACGTCGTAAAAAAAATTTATAAATATGATCTTAATATGGTATGGAAAAAAAAAATGTTATATAGGAAAAAATAAAAAAAAAAAAAATAATAAATAAAAAATAGAGAAAAATAAATAAATAAGATTTTTTAAAAATGAAAAAAAAAAAAAAAAAAAATAATAATAGATAGTAAAAAATATTAAAACAAAAAGAAAATAAAGAAAAAATTAAAAGTAAAAGGTAACATAATCCACAAAATTTTTTTAAAATAGGAACAAAAACATATCTCTTATAAACTTCTATGTTACAAAAATATATATTATTAAAAAAAAACTTGATGTAAAGAAAAAAAAAGAAAAGAAAAGAAAATGAATATAATCCATTTTTGTTTATTTATTGAGTTAATAAAATGTTTTGTTAATGGGTTAAAAAATAACAAAAAAATATATGATAAATTATATATACAAAAAACAGAAAATTTATTATTCCTTAATAATATTAATATAAATAAAAATTTAGAGAAGAAAAAAAATATATTAGCTCATAATGAAACACAAATATTAAAAAATAAAAATGATATAAATGTATTAAGTAAAAAAAACAAGATATCTTTTACTAAAAGTAAGCAAATTGCTACCATAGGTCCTGCATCAGAAAATTTTCAGCAGTTAGAAAAACTTTATTTAAGTGGGATTGATGTATTTAGATTAAATTTTTCTCATGGTTTGAAAAATATTAAAAAATATATAATTGATTCTATTAGAATTTTAGAAAAGAAATATGATACATCTATTGGAATTTTAGGAGATATACAAGGACCCAAAATTAGAATAGGAGAATTTGAGAGGAATGAAGATAATGAAAAAGAGAAAAATACATTTGTTGAATTAAAAGAAGGAGACTATTTTAATTTTGACTTGTTAGATAAACCAGGAGATAAAAATAGAGTACAATTAAATTATCCGGAATTATTAAAAAATATAAATATTGGTCAAATTATATTATTAGATGATGGAAATTTAAAAATGAAAGTAATTAAAAGTAATTATGATACAAATAATAAAAATACATCCATAAAAGTAGAAGTGATAACAGGAGGGAAATTGTATAGTAAGAAAGGATTTAGTATTCCTAATATGATTATGCCTATTGAAGTATTAAATGAGAAAGATATAAAAGATATATTATTTTGTATAAATGAAGAAGTAGATTTCTTAGGATATTCATTTGTTCAAACTGAATATGATTTGCTTTTCTTAAAAAATATTATCAACGACTATTATAAAAGTGATTTTTATAAAAATAAAAGAAAAGATAGAATTAATTATAATTTAGAAAGTTTACAAATAAAAGATTTTGATGATGAAAACGATTTTTATATTAAAGAAGTCAATGATTATTATCATAATTATTATTTAAAAAATTATGAAAAATATAGAAAAATATATGATGTTTACAAAGGTCAGAATTTGCATATAAAAGACAATAAAAATAGTGAAGCAGATGTCGATATTTATGATGATATTATGGGAAATAAAAATCAATTTAATCACAATAATACAGATAATATGAACACGAAAAATATTTCTTTAAATGAAGACAGTAATAATGAAATATTAAATGATGCAAATAAAATTTATATAATTTCGAAAATTGAAAAACCGTCTGCTGTGAAAAACATAGAAAATATTATTAAACAGTCAGATGGAATAATGATAGCAAGAGGTGATTTAGGAATTGAAACAAATTTATCTAATTTACCAATTTTACAAAAAAAAATTATAAATTTATGTAGAATCAAATATAATAAACCAGTTATTGTTGCTACACAAATGCTAGAAAGTATGAGGTTTTTACCTTCACCAACTAGGGCAGAAATTAGTGATGTTGCGACTGCTTTATATGATGGATCTGATTGTGTTATGTTATCTGCTGAAACAGCTACTGGACATTATCCAATTTTAACTGCCTCTACGCAAAATAGAATAATTAAAGATGTAGAAAATGATTATTATTATTATGAATATGCACAAAAAAAAAATGATAAAGTAAAAAATATAGAACAAAAAAATAATCTCTTTCATGATAATTCTAACTTTAATAAAATAAAAGAAGATAATAGTAATAATTCTTATTTTGAAAAATTAATATATAGTATAAGAGATATAAGTAATAATATCAATTTAAAATCAATCATTTTATTTTCCAATGAATTTAACAAAATTCAAAAATTAAGTAATTTAAGAACTAAAGCACCAATTATTGTTATAACAGAAAACGTCTATTTAGCAAGAAAATTACAATTAACATGGGGTGTTTATCCTTATCTATCAAAAAAAAAGGATTTGTTTAATAATGATTTACTTACATTAATTAATTACGGTTGTGATATATCAAAGGAAGAAGGATTTATTAATTCTGCTGATGAATATTCTCTTGTTACTTTTACAAAAAATATTAACTCTGCTAATTTGCTCTATTTATGTCAACCATATTTAACTAACTCAAAATGAAAATGTTATTTCAAAGAAGGGAAAACACTAAAATTCATAAAAATGTATATTTAATTATACATATTTACATATATTTATATAATTTTCATAAACATAATAATATATAAATCGGATGTTATACTTAAAAGGAAATTGAAATATCATATTATACAAGTAGCTATTTAAAAGATAAAATTTTAAATTATACAATATTCTCCAAAATTTTTTAAAAATCAAATTTTATTTTTCTATATATATAAAAAAAAAAAAAAAAAAATTTATCCAAATATATTTTTAAAAAAAAAATTCTTAAATTATACATTTATTAAAGTTAATTTATTTTATTTTATAATTTTTTTTTTTTTTATTATTAACTTAATAAAAATTTTTTTTTTTTTTTTTAATATATAAGAAAACCTCCAAAATTTTTGTTTTTTTTTAAAGAAAAAACTATATTCAAATAAGCCTTTTTATAATCTCTTGATTTTTTGAAATGTTTTCTTGTAAAATTACCTTTTTAAGAAATATTTTGCAGTGTATTGAATATTGACAAGCTAAAGCTTCCATTTCTGAATTTGAACACATTAAACAAATTTTATTTAAATTTTTTATTACATTCTGAGACTTATTTATTTCAGTATAACTTTTAATTATTTTATTTCTTATTATTATATCTTCATCTTCTATTTTTATTTTTATTTTATTTTTTATTTTTTTTTCTTCTAATTCTTCATTCATTAATTCTATTTTTTTATCCTTTTCTTCTGTAATATTTGCTAATTCATAATATTTTTCTACTTTTTCATTATTTTTTAAAATATCTTTTGTATTATTAGATTTTATTGAAGAAATTTCTAGTATTTTTTTATTAGAGGTATTTTGTCTTTTTGTCTTATAAAAAACCTCTTTTGCATTAACTGGGAAAAAAGGTAGTAAGTTTAGCATTCTTTCAAGTGGTGGCAATATTAAATTTTGTATGTAATATTCAAAGTTTATTTCTTTTAGTTTTTTTTTTTTTATATTTTTCGCAGAAAACATCTTATTATCTTCTTTAATGCTATTTGTATTGTTTTCCCATTTTTCTTTTTCACCATAATTAATACAATTTTTACTTTCACAAATTTTATCTATTTCTATTATTTTTTTATGATTATCTTTAGAATTGGAATTATAGTCAAAATTTTCATGAATAATACAAGGTTTGTGAATTCCTCTAATAAAATATGGATGAGATACAGAATTACAAATTTTATCTGTTTTTAATTTTTTAGTAATAATATAAGGAATTTTTTCTTTATAACAAATAGTAATATATGGAATTTTTTTTAAAATTTTTTTAGCAACTACTGCTTGTGGTGGTAAGGAAACTTTTCTTTGATTTCCTTGTAATTCTCCCTTATATGTACCTAATTTTACTTTTTTATATATTATATAATTGTCATAAGGAATTTTATTATCATAAATTTGATTAAAAAATTCACTTAAGATATTTTTTAAATGTAATGATAAATGAGAATAAAACATTTTTGTATTAAAAACATAATTCGTTTTATCACTTTTTGTATTAAAAAAAAAAAATCCTTGCTTTATATTGCAAAAGCATTTGTATTTGTCGCATTTATTATTTTGATCAATTTCTTTTACACATAAGCAAATTTTTAAAATATTATGAGGATTAGTTAAACAGCAATCATTTTTTTTATTAATTATTTTTGTGTAGTTCTTTTCTATTATTTTTTTAATCTCTTCTTTTAAAATATTTTCGTTAAAATGCATAAATATATACGATATAAAAGAGTACTTTTCTTTATACAAAAAGTTCAAAACTTTCAAAAAAATATTATGTTCATCAAAATTTAATAATTTCAATAGATATTCATAAAATTTTATCTTATCATTTTCATTAAAATTTGAATCTTCTAATATTTCTAATTTATTAGGTACACTATTTTTACACAACTGAAAAATTATTTTTAATATTTTTGATAAAAAACATGGATATGTTTTATGAATATTTGATTTTTTACATGAACAAACAAAATTATAAAAAAAATTTCTACAGAGATAACAACAACAACAACAATATGAAAAATAGGAATTATTTCTGAAATAATAAAAGATAAAATAAATCTGTATTAATACATTTTTTACTAAATTACACTGATCTGATCTTCCACTCTCTATTCCTTTTAATTCTAAAAAAGGTTTATCTTCATTTTCATTTTTATATGTAAAACCAAAGTATCTTTTTTTTGTTAAAAGTAAAGAAGGCAAATATATTTTTTCAAAATTTAAATGCATTGGTGACGGCAAAATATTATTTATATTCTTTAAAATATCATATGCAATTTTAAAAGAGTAAGTTATATCATCGGAGAGATTTAATAAAAATAAAGAGTCAGTATCCCCATATAATACTTGTAAAAACTTATAATTTTTTCTTATATACTCAATCGTGAATAATAAAAAATTCCTACCTAAACTAATAACACTTTCTGATATATCAACACATGGCATTCTTCCTGAAAAATTTGCTCCTATATATCCAGTAGCAACATTTAATATTAATTTTAGATTATCTATTCTTTCTTTTAATTTTCCTGAAATTTTATTATCATAGATTTCAATACATCTTTTTAACATTATTCTTGTTTTCAAAATGTCTTCAAGAAAAAGAATACAAATGCCTTTTCTTTTATTTTTTTTCACATATAAAGTATTGTTACTGGTTATAATGATATCACTACTTTTTAAATTTTTAATTTTGTTCATAATATTTTTGTCTTTTTTTTTTACACCCAACTTTAAAAATTCAAATGGCATTTCTTCCTCTTTATCTTCAATAAAATTTTTATCATTGTTTAAATTGTTACCATAATTATAATTAAAACAACAATCTGTGTATTTTTTGTTAAAGTTAACTTCTTTTAATCTATTGTTGGAAATAGTTTTCTGATTCATATTAGTGAATGATTCATTTTCAACATTTCTGTATTTATTTGAAATAAACATATGGTTTCCTGAATCACTACCATCTTCTTTTAATTCTTCAAAATTATTCCTTTTAATATTTGAAAAAACTTCCTTTTGAGTGTCAATAAAAATTCCATTATTTTTATTTTCACTTGTTTTATCATTTTTTCTTTTTAAAGTTAATGTTCCTATACATGTTGAAAAACAAATATTAAAGGCAATTAAAATAGATGCATATAAAGATTGAAAATCAAAAACTAAAAGTGGAAAAAAATTAATCGAACTTTTTGGTTGCAGTACTAAAGGGGTATGTAAAATAGGTCTTTGATCAAATACTTCTTTATTAGAAGGAGAATATAAAAGAAAATCATATTTTAAAGACATTTTAAGAAGAAATGACTCAATAATATATTGTGATCCCCTATTAATTAAGGATAAGAAATCCATATGAATATATTTACAGAAATTCATTTTTTTTTTTAAAAACCCTATTTTATTATATATTAATTGTGAAAAATAAATTCTCATTAAAAAATATCTTACAGTTATATATCTATAAGGAAAATGTACATAATTATTATTATTATAATTTATTAATTTATTATCTTCGTTATTTAAATTATCATTTTGTACATTTTTACAAAAGCTATACCAATAATATAGGGTATATTTGCTGATACTAGGTAAATTTATATTTAAATAATGTTTACATAAATTTTCAAAAGAAATATTAGAAATATTACTTAATTTGTATAAACTCTCAATTACTTTACCTTTTATTTTTTTATTATATGTGTTGTTTAAATCATTATAATCACAATGATCATTTAATTTACTAATTAGTTTATAAAAATTTCCCATTTTCAAAACTAGGCATCTTTGGTTAATATAATTAACATTATATTTATCATTTTCATATGAAATTATACTAATAGGAGAATAAAAATTAATTTTATCTATTAATTTTTTTATAAGTTCTATTTCATTTTCTACTATACATATATTAATTTGTTCATAATTAATATTAAAATCAAAAAAGATTAAATTATCATTTTTGAATTCATCACTTTCATCATTTTTATATATCTTTTCTTTTATTGAATTTACATTGTTATTTTCCTTTTCTTGATTCTCTATAAATTTCTCTTTACAAATATAAATACCTTTATTATGTTTTATATTTGGGTAAAATACTAAGTTTTTTTCTTTTTTTTCTTTTTCTATAAAATAATTTGAAATATCTGGAAATGGCTTAGTAGCTATAATACCTACACAATCTTCATAATCTTCAAAATAATTCATGAGTCTCTCATCTCTAATTAAATAGAAAACAGCTTTTATTTCGTCATCATTGAAATTTGATGAATAGCAATTTTCATTTTTTATCTTAGTTAAAATTTCAAGGAAAAATAAATTTCCATATTTTATATTTATTTTTTTTTTTTTACTATTAGTCAAATTTTCACTGTTATTTATTGATTTAATTTTATTTTTAAAAACAAAATTTTTACAATCTTCATTTTCACCATCTGTGTAATAATCTTTGTTTTCCTCCTTATTTTTAATTGAAAAATCATTATAAATAGAAAAGCATCGTTTTATTTTGGGTGCTGTTTTCTTATATGTATATCTAATAATTTCTTTTCTCTCATTATTAATTTTGAATGATGCTATACATTTTCTTTCATTATTGTTTTCTGAAAATATTTCCTTTTGTCCTTCATTAAATACATAAGCATTCGTTAAATGAGTTTGTGTATTCATTTCATTATTGTTACTACATAAATCCAATTTATGCATTTGTTCACTTATAGAATTATTTTCATTTATATTATGATTATCAGATAAAGTTTTTTCTATTGTTTTTTCTATTGTTTTTTCTATTGTTTTTTCTATTGTTTTTTCTATTGTTTTTTCTACTGTATTTTCTTTTGTTTTTTCTACTGATTTTTCTATTGTTTTTTCATTCATACCATTGCTAGAAGTAATAACACTCTCTATAGTCTTAAAAATTCTTTTTTCATTTTTTCCTATATAAGATTCAGTGGAATTAACTGAATTAATAAATAATTGTTCAAATTCATTATTCGAATCTAAAATCTTATTATTTTCTAAATTTAAGTTATCATTACTTAATTTGTGACTACCACTAATATTATAATTTATTCTATGATTTAAATTATTATTTATACTTTTAATTTTGTTGCTTATTATGTTTTCATGTGAAATGGTATTATTATTATAAAATGAATTTTTTTCTATCAATGGAGAATAAGGAGAACATTGTTCTTCTCCTTTTTCCTCTATTTTTCTAAATCTTTCTCTTTTTTCACTCTCTTCTATGTCTCCAACAACTTTCTTTTCATTTTTTTTTCCATTATTTCTATCCATTTCCATTTTTTCATCTTTTTCTCTCATCTCTCCAACCATTTCACTTTCTTCATCTTGTTCTCTCTTTTCTCCAACCCTTCTTATTTTTTCATCATTATCCTTTATCATTATAATATCTATTATTTTTTCTTCATTCATTTCACTTCTTTCTCCAATTCTTTTTATTTGATCCCCAAACTTTTCTTTTTTTTCTGAGTTTGTTACTATTTTTTCTTCAATCTCTTCTACTTTTTCATCATTTTTTTCTATTTTTGTTTCATTTTCTTCTCCTTTTTTTCGATTTATTCCTATATTTTCTTTATTTATTCTTATTTTTTCTTCATTCCACTGATCTTCTTCGTTTTTTCCATCTATTCTTTCTTTTTCTTCATTAATTTCTCCATTTTCTCTTTTACTTATAAATTTTAAAAAACTGTTAAATAATTTTTTAGTTCTATCAGTCAATATTTCAAAAGAATCAAAATTTAATTCACTTTCATTATTTTCAAAATAAAAAATTTTTTTTATTAAATTAAAATTTATGCTTTTACATCTATTTTTTTCTTTAATCCATATTTTTGAAAAAGAGTCTAAATGATTAATAGGGAGATCAAAACATAATTCTTTTTTCCATTTTATTTTATTCTTTTGAAATTCATATGAATAAATTTCGTTATTCAAGATATGTTGATGTTTTATATCACATTCAATATCATAAAATGTTTCTCTTTTTAAATGAGAAAAATTAACATTTGTTGTTTTGTTAGTAAAGAAGGTAGGAGAATTTATGTCTAAATATTTGTTTCTTTTTATATTTTCAATGTTATACTTTTTTTTTATATTCCACTTATCTTCTTTCATATAACACTCAAAATTTATCTCACTGAAGAAATTTTTTCGAAAGAGAATATTTTCGTCTACATATATTTCTGAACATCCATAAATGTTTTTCATACATAAAAAATGTAGCATATAATTTATATGAACTTCATATAAGTCCCAAACTCGATTTTTAAATAATTTTTTTTTCAGTAAGCTGGCAAAAAAATTAACTGTATTTGGATATAAAAAATAAATTTTTAAAAAGTATTCAGATTCTTCATTATAACCATAGATACATTTCTTTTTAACTCTTTCAATATTATATATGCATACATTATTTACTTCATCCTTTTTTAATTTGCCATATTCTTTCTCTAAAAATTCACATATTTCTATTTCCAATTTTTCATCTATAAAATTTTTGAAATTTTCATTATGCAATTAACAACTTGATATGTATATATATATATGTAAATTTTATTTTATTTTTTTTTTTTTCTATTACTTTTCTTTTCTTCTGGTGGTATTAATATATAAAAAAAAGGAAAAAACTATAAACATTTTCGTAAATAAGAAAAAAATATCTATATTACCACATTTTTTTTTTTTTTTTTTTTTTTTAAAAAAAAAAACATACATCGTGTATATATAGACACACACTTTGCCCGTAATAGCTTAATCCCAATATCTGAATAACACAGACGTAAGGAATTTTTTTATTATTTATTTTACATCTCTAAAAAAGAAATATTTAAATAAATAATAATATATATATGTTTTTTATAAATTGTTTTAATTATAAAAAAGAAAAAGCTTTAAACATTATTAGTATTCTATAATGCATTTTCTATGTTGGTCAGATATTTATTTATTTATTATATATATATATATATATATTTTTGATATACTTATATCCTATAATTTTTTTTCTTTATTTTTCATGAATGAATAAAAAAAAATGTCTTTTTCTTCTTATTTTTTTTAAACAGTATTTAAATTTTTGTTTATTAATAGAGTTCAAGTACAATTTATTCCTGTTTTTCTTTATATGTATATTAAAATTTCATAAATGTATTTTTTATATTTTTTTTTTTTTATAACTTTTTATTTTCTTTTTCTTTTTTAATGTACCAATGGATCAAGTTGGAAGGAAGGCTTTCTAAAAATATAATAAAAAAAGAAAAATTTACAAATAAAAAAGGCTTTTGGTTTTTCTACAATGTTCATATTTTTCTAAAGAAATTTTAATTAAAATCATTTTTAAATTTTTATTATCTCTTCTTTTTTCATTTATGCATTACATCAAAAATATTTTTATTTTTTTTATTTTGTTATGTTGATAAAATCTTAAAACATTTATTATATATGTTTATTTTAGGAAAAAAAATTTCTTCTATTTTGTCTTTTCCTAACCTTTATGAAACTTAAAGATTTATTTTATTCCATCATAGAAAATTTTTACTTTTTATTTTATTTGAAGGAATAAAAAATAAAATTCATATATATATGCATGAGTAAAAATATATAAAGAAATAAGAAAAAAATGTAAAATGGTTGGCTTATATATTTTTTTTTTATAAAAATATATTCGAAATCAAAAAAAAAAAAAAAAAAAATTGTATCCATAGTAAAGATAAAAATGTATTATATTAGTATACCATTACTTTTAAAAAACAAACATCATAAAATTTTTTTCTTTCATGTTTAATAATTTTTTTTTTTTGACATTTACATTTTTATATTCTAAATTTTAATTTTGCATTTCTTTTGAAAACATATTTTAGAAATTGATTATAAAAGAAAGGAGAAACCTTTTTAATTTAATGTGAAGAATTGGTGATTTATGTTATTAAGGAATATTAAAAAAAAAAAAAAAAAGGTAAAAAAAATAATTGAGCCACTAAGTAGTATATACCAAAAAAAAAAAAAGACATTAAAAATTTTATTTTTCTTATTTGTCCCTAGAGACCCAACTATCTTCTTTGCTTTTTTATTATTTAAATTTTTAAAAATTTATTCAAAGCATTAGGAATTTTTTATTTTTCGATAAATTAATATTTATTATTTTTTTTTTTTTATTCTAACAATGCATAAAAGATAAAAAATTTTCATAAAGTTGAAGAAATCTAACAGTAGCTATATTATTACATTTTTAATTACTTTACAATTGTCTTAAAGAGGCAACTACAAATATAATATATGAATGCATATATAGAAATATAACTTTAAATAATTATTTTAAATGAATTGACAAAAAAATAAAAGAAGAGAAAAAAAAATTTAGATTTATGAATATGCATATTTAATGATAATCTGCATGCTTAGGTACTTCATAAGCGAAAATAATAAACAGTTTAATTTTTGTATATTTTACAGAAAATACTTGTTTTAAAAAATATTTTAGAATACACAAAAAACGAAGCAATTTTTTTATATTATATAAAGCATGTGCAACTTTATAAATAAATTTACGCGAAATTTATTGTGTGCGTTTAAAATTTTTTTTTTTTATATTGTATCTTTTTTATTTTGGTGTATTTTTTTCTTTTTTTTTTATACATAAAATTATTTTTCTCTTTATTACAGTTAATAGTTTTAAAAATTGCAATTTACCCTTTCATTTTAAAATTGTACATACACTTTTTTATAAAAAAAATAGAAAAAAAAAAAAATTATAAAAAAGAACTCATAAATCTTATTTTTAACAAATAAATTCATATATATATGTATAACATGTATATATATATATATTTATATGTATGTATATGTATATGTATATATAATTCTTTTTTCATAGGAAAAAAAAAAAAATTAAAATTAAAATTAATATTTAATAAATTTATGGAATAAAACTTATATTAATTTTTTTTTTTTATTCATTCATTTAACCATTCACTCACTAATTTTTTTCATAAGTGAAATTTTATGTATATAAATTCAAGCATATCTGAAAGGTTTTAGTGATATTAATAAATACATCATATAATAAATAAAGGATTTAAAAAAAAAAAAAAAAAAAAAAAAAAAAAATACATAATAAAATGAAAAATAATTTGCTATGCATGTCCGCTTGTATTTTTATAAATGTAAAAAAAAATGTTTTATTTTTTTTTTTTTTTTTGGCTTTNGATTTAAAAAAAAAAAAAAAAAAAAACAAACAAACAAAAATGATAAGGAGAAAAAATATTTTTCTATAAGTAAATAATAATGTATTTTATAATTATTAATATATAAATTTTGTTGTGTCAAAACTGCAAAAAAAAAAAAAAAAAAAAAAAAAAAAAATACATAATAAAATGAAAAATAATTTGCTATGCATGTCCGCTTGTATTTTTATAAATGTAAAAAAAAATGTTTTATTTTTTTTTTTTTTTTTGGCTTTGTAAAATTCTATGAATTCGTGCTTTGAATAAAATTGTTAAGTGAATTTTATTTTTTTTTAATATTAATATATTTAATATAAATATATATATGTATACCTCCGGTGAAAAATATAATTTTTATATTTAACAATTAACAAAATATAAAATAAATGTACATTTATTTATATCATGAAAAAAAAAAAAAATTATTAAATTTTTTATATTTTCATTTTTTTTTTTTATTTATTTTTATTTTACAGTTATTACGACATAGCATTTTTTTAATATTTGTAAAATCTTATGTTATAAATTACATAAATTAAACATTGAATATGTAAAATATTAAAGAAAAAAAAAAAAAAAAAAATGCATCATTATATAAAAAAAATATTCTAATGAACTTCAAGTATAAAATAGAGTTCTTTTTATTTATTAATATTTAAAATATATATAAATATATATATATATATACATATATATATATATACTTTATAATTTCTCTAATTATTCATTTCTTATAAATGAGTTGTATCGTTTTGAAAATGTTTATAAAAAAGTGAATGTATATAATTATATTTTTTTTTTAATTTTTGTTTATATATTGTAATAAATTTTAATTCATTTTTATAAGTATGCAATTAATAGTTTACGCTTCACATTTGTATGTATTTTAATAAATACATATATATGTGTTTTTCTTTCTTTCATTTTTTTTCTATAAATTTTTATTTTTAAAAATGAAAATTAATATTATTATAATAAACATTAATGATATTTACTAGTAAATCTTTTTAAACTCTTTAGTAATATATTATTTTGTTTTTATTTCTCTACATGGAATTAATAGAGGAAAAATAAAAAACATAATCGATATATATATATATTTATATATATATATTGATACCCCATGTAAATTATATATATGTGAATTTACCAAAAAAAAAAAAAAAAAAAAAAAAAAAAAATANTAAAAAAAAAAAAAAAAAAAAAAAAAAAAAGGGTTTCACTATTATTATTAAAGACAAATATAAATAAATATATATTTATAAAAAATAAAAAAATAAAGAAAAGTTATAATTAGAAATATAGATATATTAGTTTTATTAATATTACTTTTCTATTTTTTTTTTTTTTTTTTTTATATTACTAATAAACTTTATATATATATATATATATTTTTCTTTTTTAATATTTGTCAAAGATAGAAATAATAAGAATTATAATACAATAATAAAGATAAAAGAAGGAAAAAATATTATATATATAATTATAGAATATATCTAGAATAATTTTAAAGAAAGTAAAAGACTTTCCCATATAAATACTCAGATAAATAATTTTATAAGTAATACACATATATATATATATATATATATATATATATATATATATATATGAGTTTAAAATAATACAATAAAAAAAAAAAAAAAAAGGAATTAAAAAAAAATATGCATATATAAATTCATTATAATAATGGAAAAATTAGACAGTAACGAAACAATGGTTATTACCTTAAAAAACATAAACAAAAATAAGTGGAGTTCATTATCAAAAAAGAAAATAGATGATAAATCATGCTATTCTCCTAGAACTGAAAAATTAATTGAAATAATTTCACCAATTTTAGATTATTATGGATATAACAAAGAAGATGTATATAATTTTATTAGTTTATACAAGTTTGATATAGAGAAAATTCAATTAGAATTATGTAATATAATGGAATCTAAGGAAGGAAAAGAAGAAGGATTATGGAAATTGGTGAAAAGCAAAAAAAGTAAGAAACCTAGTGAAAAAAATAATAAAAAAAGTAACATAGGAAGAAAAAATCATAAAAAAATAGAGAAGTTATTTTCAAAAGGATTTAACTCTAAAGAAAAAGATCAAAAAAAAATTAAAAGTACATCAAATGTTGATACAGTAGGTCAAAAAAAGACTTTTTCTAGTAATAGCAAAACTAATTATTTCCCTAATCTAAATGATAAAAATGAAAATGTTTCAATGATACATGATGTTAATAAAAATATACAAGAGGATAAAGATATAAAAGAAAATAAAAGGATAGAAGAAACTTTAAGCAAGTATCATAATGTAGAAAATAAAAAATTAAGAATAGGAAATGAGGACATAAAAAATAAAAAAAGTAAAAAAAAGAAAGGAATAAAATCAGAAGAAAAAAAAAATAGTATAAATGAAAGTTGTGATGATGATTTTTTGAATTATTCAATGGAGGAAAAAGGAGAAAATAAAAAAAACCATAGTTTGTTTAAAGAATCAGATAATATAAACAATGAAAATTTTTTTAAGAATAAAGATGAATTATTAAACAAAAAGGGTAACAAAAATAATTATTTTAATTATTTTGATAGAAAAAATCATAAAATGGAAGAAAATAAAAAGGGATACAAGTCAAATGAAGAACATTTCATTAAAAAAGATTTTAAAAATAAAAATTCTCCTAATGTGAATTTAGCAAATGGTCACAATCATAATTTTTCTAGATATAATAATTTTAATCATCACGAGAAATATTTTAAAAATTATAATAGATATAATAAACCATTAAATGATAATTTGATTTCAAGGAATATAAAGCAGAGATATTCTATTCTGAATAATAAAATAAATTTGTACAATTCTGGTAATAATTACTTCAATAATTATACTAAAGGAAATCAAAAGAAGGGATACTTAAGCAAGAAAAATTTTAGAAAAAAGAGAACATTTAGCAAAAATAGCATAGATCTTGAATATAATCCATATACAGGGCAAAAATTAAATTATGATGTAACTAACACTGAACAAAATGATAATAATAAAAAAGATATGAATATGAAAGCATTAAACGAAAAAACAAATTATAATGCATCTTATGCATCTATAGTAAATAACACTGTTAAGCAACCTCCAGTAGAAGAAAATGATAATGAAAACAAAAAAAATTTATCAAATGTATTGAATAATATAAATGAAGATAAAAATGAAATAAAAGAAAAAAAAAAATCAAAATGTCAGTTAATACCTATTAAAAATACTAAACCAGAAAAATTATGGGTATCTATAATAACAAAAGGTAGTAGCAATACATGTAATGAAATTGAGAATACGAATGACTCAATTATAACAAAAAAAGATGCAAATGAAAAAGAATTAAAAAAAGATCAAAATATCAAAGAAAATAATAGTGTGAATAAAAAAGAATTATTTAACAATAATAAAACAATGAAACCAAAGAAAAAAGATATTTCAGGAAATTTGAATATATCCAGTGAAAATATTAGGAATAGTAAATGTAATGAAAAGTTACACAAAAATGATTTATCGAAAGAAGAAAATTTAACTTCAGATTTCAAAGGAAATGAAAATGAAGATATTAATTTGTTGAGCTATAGTAAGATGGTTAAAAAAGGAAATGAATCTATTAATAAAAAACATAAAATTACAAATGATGATTCTTTCAATCCATTACATTCTAATGAAGAAAATAAAAGTAACCTAGAGACAATAGAAAATAGAGAAAATATAGTAATGAAAAAAGGAAATGAAAATAAAACTAAAATGGAAAAAGAAAAAAATATTGGTAACGAAAATGATTCAGAGAAGAAAGAAATAAATTCTAATAAAAAAATTATGGAAGAGAAAAAAGAAAAAAAAAATGAAACAAAAATAGAGTTGGAAGAAAAAAAAAAAAAGAAGAAAAAGAAAAATGATCAAGAGAAAAATATTTTAAATAATAATATATCTATAAAAACAAAAAGTCTCTTACCATGTGATTCTAAAAAAGGTAAAAATAAAATGAATAAAATATCAGAACATAATGAAAAAACGTTACCAGAGAAGATTATATCAATTGATAAAGATGGAAAAGATAAAACTAAAATACCAATTTATATGCCTAATATATCCTTAATGGCAAATATAAATAAAAAGATATTTTTTGGTAATATAAATATAAGTGGAGATCAAATAGAAAACATTGACATTGTATCAGAAAATAAGATAGATGAAATAAAAAATAACAGAAATAATAATACAGGTGATAATAATGATAGCAGCAGCAAAATTATGACATCAGAAAGCAAAAAAAAACATAGTTTAAAAAAAAATTATAGTGTAGAATCATCATTAACAATAAATAATGACAATCATCCAACATTACATAAAGATGGGAATAGAAATTATGAAAATAGCGATATGAGAGAGCAAAAAGAAAAGGAAGTAAAACAGTTAGATTTAAAAAATAATAAAAACCAAAAAAGGGAAGATAACAATAACAATGATATCTTAAATGATAACAAACAAAAATCAATTTTTTCATCATCTAACAAAAATTCTCATATAAATTCCAAATCACAAAATATATCTCTCTCAAAAAATGAAACATCTTCATCTTCTACTCATCAACAAATGCAAAATTCTATTAGTGCTAATCAAAATACAAAACAATTATTAAATAACTCTTCTGTTGTATTTATTAACCAATCACCTCCTCCACCTCCAGATGCTTCATCATCTGTTTTAATTAATGGGAAAAATAATAAATATGTTCAAAGTACATTGAGAAATAAAAATTATGAACAAGAGGTAGAAGATTCTAGTTCTATACAACTTAATCAAATTTCGCAAAAAATTTTACAGAGTCAACAAAGTTCCATAAATAATAATTTGTCATCAAATAATAATAATAATACAGTTGCAAATATGAGTAATAAGAATACAAATACAGATGTTAATAATATGAATTTAATAAATATGAATATGAATAATCTTAATAATAATAACATGTACAATTCATATAATTCACCTCCAGGTTTAGCTAATCAATTTAATTATTCATTTACTAATTTATCTTATCCATACAATAATTTGCATTATAATGGATATACAACACAAGCATTGGTTCCTCAATATGGATTAATAAATAATCATTATAATAAAAGTAATAGTATTCATAACAATAATTTTAATTATAACATGAATTATGATAATTTTGATGAGAATAATTTATATGCACATAATAATAATATACATATGAACAGCTATGTAAATTTTATGAATGTTAATGTAAAAAAAAATCAGTTAAACACAGATGATGATAATTTAAGTAATTCAGGAGAAGTTTCAATTTCTGGATCTCTTCAACCTTTAAATTTATCACACGATAATCCAACAAATTCAAATCAAAACTCAACAAATATTAACTCGTGTGGAGAAAATACAAATAATGGATTAAATAATTTATCTTTAAATAATCTGAACAATGTTAACCCGAATTTAAATATATCATGTGCAGAATTAAAAAATAAGCAACAGGTAAATAAAAATATAAATGAATTACAATTGCAACCACAAATTCAAACAATGAAGCAAACACATGTTCAAAATAAAAATAATTTAAATAATCAACATTCCAATCAACATAATCAAAATAAACATTCAGGACAGCATCAACAAAATTTAATGAATGCTTCTATTAATCAATATTCACAAAGTCAAATACATCCAAATAATTCTCAAAATACTGCATCATCTACCTCTTCTTCGTTAACAGGGAAAGTAGAAACTAATAATTTAAATAATTCAACTCAAAATAATCAAAATAGTTTTATAAATAAGCAGTTGTATCATAATAGTAATTATTATAATATAAACTCTAACAATTTTAACATACCTCCAGGATTTGCCATATCTCAAGAAAAAGAACAAAACAATAATTATTTGAATAACAATGTAACAACAAATAATGCAAATACAACAGTAACTGCTTATAGAAATAATTGGAATAATATTAATGAGAAAAGTTTAAATCATTATAACATAAATTATAATTATAATAGAAACAATAAAAATAATTTCAATTACAGTAATAATTTGTAAGTAAAAAAAATTTGAAGAAATCAACAAAAATTTTTTATATATAGATATATAGACATTTATAATTTTATTTTATTTTATTTTATTTTATTTTTTTTAAGCATTACTTTGAATTATATTTTTCATTTTATTTAATAGGAATTACAGTAATAGTAATGGATACAATGGAACAAGAGATAATACCAATACCTTTTTTAATTATAATAATTTTAGTTATGCTTTACAAACACCACCAGGTTTACAGAATTATTATCAAAGTACACAATATCAACAACAAAGTAATTATAACAATAGAAATTACAATTATTCAGGATATAATAACAATTTATCAATGTGGAGTAAGTTAAAACTATAAAAATTATATATTAACATAAATATATTTATATTTTTTTATTTTTTATTTTTTTATATGTATCTAACATTTTTTTCTTTTTTTTTTTTTTTTTTTTTTTTTTAGATAGAGAAGAATAGTTAAAAAATAACATTTTTATTTTTTCTAATTTTTTATAATTTATTATCATTTATTTTATTATAATTTATTTTATTTTATTACACCTTATTATAATTTATTCTATTTTCTTTTAAATTTTTTTTTTTTT